AAGCTTCTGGGAAGATGATAGAGTGGTGAGCAGCAGAAAATATTCTGACATTGGAATATAGAGGAATGAGGAGGAGAAGAAGAGAAGCGGGTCTGGACCTAGAAAGGATCTTAAGTGAGAATTAAAGTCCACAGGGAGAGCCAAAAGAGAGACTCCAATGAAAAAGAGGTTGTTGGCAGGTGGCTTTGTCCCAAAGTCCAGACTCATGGTGTGGGGAGGGTAGGTCGAACCTGCAGACGTACGGTAAGTACTGGAGAGACCCTAGAGGCCTCCACAGAGAACAGCACCAGTGAGCCGGACGTGGTGGCGCACGCCTGCAATCCCAGCACTCAGGAGGCTAATGCAGAAGGATTTATGTGAGTTTGAGACCAACCTGGGCTACATAGTGAGTTCCAGGTCAGTCTCAACTACATAGTGAGACCCTGTCTCAAAAAACCAAAACAAAACAAAAAACAAAAAAAAAAAGAAAGGCACCAGTGGAAAGGAGCAGTGGATGCAGCAGACAGCAGTGAGAGCAGAGTTATTTGAGTTCAGAAATCACCCAAGAGAGGGAATCGACCAGTAACCATCTTGGAGAGGGGCCAGCTGACACAGAACTCAGAACAGCTACAGGCCAGCTCCATGTAGTGGCTCCTGATGTCTCAGTGAGTGTGCTGAGTACTAGTCTGTAGGAAGTCAGGGATCGGAGTTCAAGCTGGACGGAGGCACACGTACTGTGGCTGACTAAATAAATCTGAGGTCCCAGCCTCATAGCCAGAAACCAGTCTGAATACAGTGTAACTAAAGGTCCAGCCTTCCTGGAATTATCTACTATCTCACCATAAATCCAAGGCTGGCTTGCTGGGATTACACAACTTGGATCTGGACTCTGCCCGCATTGTCTACCAGTGACAACAGAGACACACTTTTAATTGGACTTTTTTTCTTTTCTTTTCTTTTTTCTTATTTTCTTCTCTTTTCCTCTTTTCTAGTTTTTGTTCTGGTTCTGTTTTACTTTCTCTTGATTGTTCTTGTTATTACATGAGTGTGAACATGGTTTCTAGTTTTTTTGGTGGTTGTTCTATTCTGGGTTCGTTTTTATTTATTTTTTCTCTCTTTCCCTCCTGTCTTCTTCACCAATTTCCCAAAGTTTGTATGATCATTTGGCCTCCATCCTCTCTTCTAAACTCTTCTTCTATTTCTCTATTGCACCCCTCTAACCCCTTCTAAATCTCCCCTTAAGATAAAAACACATAGTGAGGGCTTATGTATTACATACAATTTTCCGGTTTGTGCTGGAGTTTGTTCTATAACCACAAATCTAATTCAGACAGTTAAAGATGCCAAAACATCTCCAGATGCACCCAGCTACCTCATCTTTGACAAAGAAGCCGACCATCCTCACTGGAGGTAAGATAGTCTCTTTAATAAATGGTGTTGGAAAAACTGGATTTCAACCTGCCAAAGATTAAAACTAGACCCTTATCTTTCACCATGCACTAAACTAAAATCCAAGTGGATTAAAGATCTAAATATTAAAAAAGAAACACTATCTTGCTGGAAGATAAGTTAGGCAGAACTCTTGAAGACATTGGCATAGGAAAAGACTTTATGAACAAATCCTCAGGAGCAAGGGAACAAACATAAAGAATCAATGACTGGGATCTCATCTTTTTAAAAATTTTCGGCACTGCAAAAGAAACCACCAACAGAACTAAGAGACAACCTACAATGTGGGAAAAAATTTTTACCAGCTCAGACAAAGGGTTCTTATCTAGAATATATAAAGAACTCAAGACAATCAGCCCCCCCAAATATAAATACCCAATTCAAAAATGGGCATCTGAAATGAACAGACATTTCTCAGACAAAGAAGTAAAAGTGGCAAGTAAATATATGAAAAAATGTTCCGCATAACTGCTCATTTGAGAGATGCTGATGAAAACAATATTGAGATTCCACCTCACCCCACAAAGAATGGCTGCTATCAAGAAATCAAACAATAACAAATGTTGGTGGGGTTGTGGGGAGAAAGGAACCCTTCTCCATTGTTAATGGTAGTGCAGACTGGTGCAGCCATTGTGGAAATCAATATGGAGATACCTCAAAGTCCTGGGACTAGAGGTTCCATTTGACCCAGCCATCCCTTTGCTGGGTATCTTTCCAAAAGAATTAAAAGAATCATATCACAGTGATATGTGTGCACCTATGTTTATAGTGGCACAGTTTGTAATAGCCAAAACTTGGAAACAGCCCATTTGCCCAGGAGTTGGAAACTGGATAAAGAAGATGTGGTTTTTCTATAAAATGGAATACCACTCAGCCATAAAGAATGAGAAATTAGATTCATTCATAGGAAAATGGATACATATTGAGAATATACTCCTAAGTGAAATAAATAAGTCACACATGTGTAAATACCAAATAGTTTTTCTGGTGTGAAAAACTATAATAGTACATAAGACCCTAATGAGATAATTGACAATGTGAAATAGGAAGAAAAGGCCTAAAGGTATAGGGAAAATGGGAAGGGTAGGGAAAAGGTAATAAGGGAAAAAGAAGAAAGTATGAGAAAATGAAAAAATGGAAATAAAATGTTTGTAAATGGGGAGGGGAGGAGGGGGTAAAGAGAGGGCAGGGACAAGGGGGGAAAATGAGAACCAAGACCTGTTATGTAAAGGTACAAGATCCCAATAATGAATGTAACTGTACTGTATACCTAAAATGTACAAATAAACTCAATGAAAAAAAAAAGATTCCAAAATAAAAGTTACCACAGTTTGTCATTTTCTAGGGGTTTGATGATATTGTTATTGTTGATTGTACTGCTTTAGCCAAGGAGACATAATTATATTAATCAGATGTTCTTCCTAGTATATCAAGGTTGACATTGCCTATGGGTCTTAAAAAATACTATAGGCCAGTGCCAAAGAATACCAATTCTTTCAGGAAGATAACAATTTGTGGGCTCTGAATTTTTTTTTTTTTTTTGGTACTGGAGATCGAACTCAGGACCTTCTAGAAAAGGCCCGTGACCCATCCCTTAACAGAAAACCCAAAAACCCTTATTAATTCCTTGTATGCTTGCTATGTGACTTGCTTCCCCATTGGGTCACATTTAATCAAAACTAAGCAACTGTATTTGTAATCTTACTGGTTGACTATAGTTTTGTACCACCTTGAACCCACCTCACCTCGCAGCTTTGTTCCATAAAAAACCTGGAGACAGGGACCCCAGGCAACCCATTTTCTCCAGTCCTCCTTCAGTCTCTCTTAGAAAGCTATCTTTCTCCCAATAAAATTTTCCTACCCTTAATCTCCGTTGTTCCTAGAATTCATTCTTCCATTTTAGAGAACATAAAAGTCGAGTTTCAGATATCTAGCACATTTAGGAGTTACATCTACTTCCCCTATATCACTGGGACACAAAGAGATGCTGTGATATTTTGGAAATTGGAAGGGGATCTTGAAATGGAGGGCGGAGCTAAGGAGGGGAAAGAAAAGGGACGTGAACAGAATTAAAATGAATTATGTATATATACCAACTCCCCACAATGAATGTAATCATGTACTGCAAACACCAACTAATTTAAACAAAAGATCTAGGGAAGGGTAGGCAAAAGGAAATAAGGGACAAGAAAAAATATGAGAAAAGGAAAAAATGGAAACAAAGTCTTTGTAAATAGGGGAGAGTGGAGCGGGTGAAGAGGGCAGGGGAAGGGGGAATAAATGAGAACCAAGACCTGTCATGTAAAGGTACAAGATCCCAATGATGAATGTAACTGTACTGTATACCTAAAAAGTACCAATAAACTGAATAATGACAAAAAATAAACGAAACATCTGATCCCTGCCTCCCTCTTTAGCCTCACCTGAGTGTGTGTGTGTGTGTGTGCGCGCGTGCGCGCGTTCTAGGATAAAACCCAACACCTCAAGCATGCAAGTATGAGCTGTCAGGGAGCTACACCCCGAACCCCTCATCTTCCACACTATCTCCTTGCAACAAGGTGCACCTGGTACCTGCCCTGTAACGTCTATATTCCTTCCCTGGCTCTTCTTCTTAAGACTAACCGTCCACCTGATTAACTCCTCCTGCGAAGCAAGGCTGGACAGGGAAAATCTAGCAAGCCAGGGCTCTCCCAAAACAGTCTCCAAAATGGGGTCTCTCCGAAAATCTAAATATATGCAGTAAGTACGACTGTTGTGATAACTAAAATGGCCAAACATGGGCTGAGCTGGATGGTGCACACCTATAATTCCTGATAGGAGGATGAAGCAGGAGGATTGCAAATTCAATTTTCGGGGGGTACCGGGGATTGAACTCGGGTCCCTGCGCTTGCAAGGAAGGCCACAGAACCGCTGAGCTAAATCCCCGGCCCCATGGGATTGCAAATTCGAAGTCAGCCTGGACAAATAAGGGAGTTCTTCTTTCACAATCACCCAGCACTTGGGAGCCTGCGGTAGGAGGATCGCCATGAGTTTGAGGCAGCCTCGGCTATATCGTGAGTTCAAGGCCAGTCTGAAATGCATAGCGAGTCCCTGTCTCAAAATACCAAAAACAAACAAACCAAAATGGAGACGCAGATGAAATAGCCGAGGAAGGTGGCTTTTAGTTCTGGCTGCTAAGAAGCAATTCAGGAATTTTGCTTTCTAAAGACTCTATGTCACACTCCGCTAAACTAGTATTGTTTAGAAGAATTTATAGAAAAAACGGATCAAGGGACCGTCTAAGCGTAACACTTCACTCTCCCTTTCATTAAAGGGCTCCACCAAGTCATACCCTACTTCCGCCCAAGTCCCGCCCCTTCCGCCGTGAAGTTCCGCCCCGTAGTGGTCCCCGCCACATTACGCTCCGCCCCTTTCCTTAGTTCCTACGGAAGACTACCGGGAGTTTGGCGCGAACTGGGTTTTTTTCACCCCTTCCAAAGGCGGGAACTAGTTGTGTGCGCCGCAACGTGCTTTGCGTCTGAAATGATTGGTCGTTGGCGCTTAGTACCGCCTCCGCATCTTGATAACGTGCCGGTATTGGTGGAGACTCCAGAGAGCCCTCAGTGTCCAGAGAGGATCCTAGGATATCTTGGCCCGGGCTGGGCGGGTAAGTTGCTTTGGGTACCGGCCTCGCACCGTGCTGCAGCGGTGAGGCTACATGGTTCAGTAGTGCTTGAGGCTGGGCGCGTCTGGGAAGCCGTACAGTCAGAGGGAGTCCGCCTGGAGCCAAGTCCGTGGGGAAAGGGCTGCGCCTGACGTCCGGGTGCCTCAGGTAGCCACGCTCTCCCCGCCCCAAGAGCTCTTGGCTCTTGCTCCGCTTCCCTCTGTGGTCCCTGAGAGGTCTGGGAGGAGGCTGGGTTCTCACCCAAAGAAGGATTGATTGCACTCGACCCTTGTTGTCGTCCGTGCTCCCCCCACCCCCCGGAGCAAGCTCGCTTTGGTACATAATCCTAAAGGTTTCAGGTGGAATTTTCTGAAAAAATGGCTTTCCCTAGTGTCAGGTGATCACTAACAATTGTTGCTTTCGAAGTTATCTTGATCTCTACGACACATAGTAAGCTATGAATATAGAATTTGTAGGATGTTAGCGTTTCTGCTTCAGGATCAAGTTGGCTTTGACTGACTTTTCTACACTTCCCTGGACTCGACAGTTCCAGCCCCAAACCTTTTCTCCTCTCCTGAAGGCCCTCTGCCCATCTCCTGAGGCCATCAGGGCAGGGGAAGAATTTTCTCCCCGCGCCCGAATTATTTTCTCCTAGCATTTTTTGATGTACAGCAAGAGATGGTATCCTTTAAAATATATATTTGTACTCTAATAAATATCATTTAGTTTTTGTCATATGGCTTTAGAGATATGCCTAGATAGTGTAATCCCTGCTCTGCCACTTACCAAATCCCTTGGGCAAATTTTCTTGGGTAAATCTATTTCTTCATCTGTAAAATGGGGGAAAAGAATAATATAGGTCTTACAGGACTTAAAGATTCAGAGTAAGTTAATAATGTATGTAAAGCATTGAGGTGAGTACCTGACACATAATAAATGTGCAGTATATGGTAACTTGTTGACCTTTGAACCTCACATCTTGGAAGCCTAGAAATACAGGCTATTCCTCTGACCTGGCTTTTTCCTATTTTTCCCTACAAATGCTTGCTTCTTTGTCTCAGTTTTTAAAATAAAACTTTCGGGCCGGGGATTTAGCTCAGTGGTTCAGCTACCTGCCTCAAAAGTGCAAGGTCCTGAGTTCATCCCTGGTACCCAAAAATAATAATAATAAAACTTCTTTGATGCTGCCTTTGAAGGCATTGTCCTATCATAAAACAGTAGGTGAGCCTTCTGTTATCTATTTTATCACCTCTGAATCCACTGGACTTATATGAATAGTTGGACACAGTGGCACACATCAGCTACTCAGAAGGCTGAGGCAGGAGGATTCCAAGTTCAAGGCCAGCCTGGGCAACTTAGACCTCCCCTCAAATTTTTAAAAAAGGGCTAGGTATGTACCTCAGTGATAGAGTGTTTGCTTAGCATTCATAAGGCCCTGGGTCCACTACCTAGTACTAGAAAAAAAAAAGGAAGAAAGAAGGAAAGATTATATATGACTAAGTAAGTTCCAACTCTCTACACTGAGAAATGACCCAGGGACTTGCACATATATGCTCTACCACTGAGTTACACACCCAGCCCAGCAACTCCTCTTAATCATTACTTTAAATTTTTGCCTCTGTGCTTTTCAGAGGTGAACCACTCCCATTAGTACTAACTCTCATTTTATACCAAGAATTTAAAATGGGGGAAGGTGAGAATATAAAAAACGTTCCTTTTCCCAAAATACTCTGTGCCTACTGTTCCTCTTCCTCCTCCCTTTTCTTTTCAGGAGAATCACTGGCCTTTGTGATTTTAAGAGTGTAATCTCAACTGTCACCATCATGTTGATAGGTCAAAAATCATAGTATCTTTTCTTTTGTGCATTATAGTATTTCAGCTTGGTTACACATCTTCATCTGAATGTTGTACAGATAATTAATCATGTCTTTGCTTTTCCAGTGCTACTTATACTATGACTTCTACCTTGTTACTAAAGAGAAATTTCAGAGTCATCTTTAACAAACTAAGGACATCATTAATTTAACAAATATTCTTTTATTACTTAACAACGCACCAGGCCCTGTGCTGAGAGCTAGGGATAGAGCAGTGAACAAAACTGAGATGATCCCTATCTTCATAGAGCTTATAATATAGTGGGTGAGATGGGCATTTCCCCAAGAAGTCCACAAAAAATGTAACCATGACAGGTGTGGTGCCACACCCCTGTAATCCCAGCTCTCAAGAGGCTGAGGCAGGATCATTGCTGTGAGTTTGAGGCCAGCCTGAGCTATATAATGAGTTTAAGGGCAGCCTGAGCTGTGTAATGAGACCCTGCCACCCCAAAAAACCTTCAGTAGGTGCTAGGGCTGTTGTTTCTGTGGTAGCGTGCTTGCCTACCATGTGTGGCTAGAATCTGATCTCCAGCGCTGCATAAATGAATAAATACCTAAAAACTTTTAAGACACCCAATCCTTACAAGAGGCAGTCCAAGTATGTATCTTAATCATGTAGTATACTGTATCCTGTGATTACTTTTTTTCCCCTGTGTTAGGGTTCAAACCCAGAGCCTAATGCATGCTAGCCAAGCTCTCTACTACCTTAGCCCCTTTCTAAAATTCCCAGCTGGACTCAGTTGTGAACTTGTAGGTAGATATGGTAGGGACCAGATATGAACAGATGGGGTTAGGAAGTATGTTTGGAAAGAGGAACTGAATTTATGTGACTTTGTGGTTTTGGAAACTCGGGAATTGTGAACGATAGAGCTAGAAAGGTAGGTACTGTACCAGTAAATATCAAGAAGTTTGGACTTACTAGGTATTGGGAAGTAATGGAAAGATTTTGAGCAGGAGATTATATGAGCAAGATTGCCATAGAAGAACTAACCTGATAGTTATGTATAGCATGTATTTGGAGTAGGGGAATGATTTGGTAACTTGTGAGTGTGAAACAATGTCAAGAATGGAGATAAATGGGAAAAACATTGCAGGGATAGCATCAGGAGCCCGTACGTTACAGAATGTTAGTGCTGCTCTAGGAAACAGGTCAAGAAGTGAACAGATACTGATTAAAAGATCTCTTTGGCACTGGGTGAGTTTGTACTTACAGGAGTGTATCTGTTGTCTTTAGCATTTTACTGCTGACTCCAGGTTTGTATTTTAGTATAAGCAGTTTGTAAATTCAAGTAGTCTGAGGAGGCAGACTAAATCTGCTCTAGTTCCCCAACTTTTGACATATTGTTTTCTCTTACCCTTTTGTTTTTACCTACCAATAGTTTAACTCAAAGAAATCATTTATGCTTGTGCAGTTTAAGAAAGGTTCGAGAATGCTTTTGTTTGTGAATAATTTGGTTTGCAAAGAAAAGTGTTTGGAAAAATTTTGTTTTTGTTTGCAAGCTCTACATCAACTGATAAAACATGACTACAGTCATCTTTCCTGCGCAAACACAAACATGGTCATCTTTTCCAATACTGTGGAGCAGATTAAGTTCCTCAGTGAAGGTACCATTGTATTGATAGCTATGAGTTCATCACCTTAGAAAACTATTAAATACATTTTTGTAAGTTCCCCAAAAGTAGATGTAGTTATGCGTTATTGAAATTATACTAACCACAGCTCTGTGAAATTCTTTAATTGTGAGTGTTTTATGATAAATGAAACTAAATGGGCTTTGAGTAAGGGCATGGCATCCTCTTAAGAGTAAACTTAGCTTCATTGAATGGATAGACATATTTGGCTAGGTTAGTCTTTTTGGCTGATTTCCTTGATTATTTACGAATATTTATGGAGTTTCTTTTTTGTTTGTTTTTGTTTTTGTTTTGTTTTGTTTTGTTTTTCCTGTACCAGAGATTGAACTCAGGACCTTGCACTTGGGAGGCAGGTTCGGTGCCACTGTGCTAAATCTCCATCCCCTGTTTTTTATTTTTTTGAGACAAGGTCTCGCTATGTAGTTTAGACTGGCCTTGCACACACTGTATAGCCTAGGCAGGCCTCTAATTCATGGCAGTCCTCCCAAGTGCTGGGATTACAAGTGTGTGCCATCACGCCCAGCTAGGAATATTTAAGTTTATGAATGTATATTAAGTATGAGACATACAGATATTTACAAAACTTGAGCTGGGGATTTAGTTCAGTGGTTCTGCTGCCTGCCTTGCAAGCGCAAGGTCCCGAGTTCAATCACCAGTACCAAAAAAAAAATTATACTCAAGTTAAAACTTGATCCTTTCCTTCAAGTAGCTCATGGTCTGTGTTACCAAATATTATCTTCTAGCCACATGTCTATTTAACTTTAAATTAATTAAAATTTAAAAATCAGATTTTCAGTAACTCCAGCATTTTACCTCACTCTGCTGCCTGCTATAGTCTAGGAACAGCTGGTTTAGAAAGTAGATGATTACATTAGAGGTTGCTAAGTGCAATAATAACATGTTCAATATGTTAATGGCATAAAGGCAGGAGGTTAAATGAGTTTGGGAAAAGGAGCATTCCAAGAATAAACCTAGAATAAGCATAATGAGATATTGTGGAGTTGAAGTACATGGAATATTTTAAGAATTTCAAGTGTAGACACTTCTGCTTTAATATTTTCTTGTATAGGGGGAGGGTGTGTGGGGGATTGAACCTGGGCCTTGTGCATCTTGTGCATGCTGCTATACACCTGCTCTAGGATTGAGCTGGACCCTCAGCCCCCTAAGATAGATGTGTGTGTGTGCATTCTTTATTAAAACTTTTAGTTCTATAGTATAATTTACCAAAGTGGTGTATGGAGAAAATACAAGTAGAATATCCAAGACCCACCTACATGTATCACTAGAGCACAAACAGAAGCAATAACAGTTTTAAAAATATTGAGTTTGTTTAAAAGATAGGTTAATTGGGTGTTGTGCCTGAAGCTAAAGTAGAAAGATCACAAGTTCAAGTTCAAGGCCAGCCTGGACAACCTAGTAGAGACTGTATTTTAAAAAGTAAAAGAGCTAGGGATGTAGCTCAATGCTCTTCCTAGTACCCCTCTTTCAAAAAATAGTTAGACTGTTAATACCCCAGAAAATTTAGTCAGTCCTCTGTAACCGCAGGTTCTAAATCCATGGATTGAAAATGTCCAAAGAAAAAAGTTGCATCTATATTGTAGATTTATTTCTTGTCATTACCATATTACCTAAACAATAAGTATAACAACTGTATACATAACATTTATACTGCCTCTGGTATTGTAGGCAACCTAAAGATGATTTAAAGTATGGGAGAATGTGGGTAAGTTATATACAGTACTATGAGATTTTATAGGAGCATTTGTGGATTTCGATATTGGTTGATGGGTTCCAAAGAAGGGGCTTTTGGAAGCAATCCCTGTGATTATTTGTTTTTTTGCTATTGTTTTGTTTTGTTTTTGTTTTTGGTACCGGAGATCAAACTCTGGTACTGGAGATCAAACTCAGGACCTTGTGCTTTTGAGGTAGGTGGCTGCACCACTGAGTTAAATCCCAGGCCCTTGTTTTGGGTTTTTTTGTTTTTGTTTTTGTTTTTGTTTTTGAGGCAGGGTCTCACTGTAGTTCAGGGTGGCCTTGAACTCACTATGTAGACCAGGTTGGCCTTGAACTTGCTGTGGTTCTGCCTCAGTCACTCAATGCTGGGATTACAAGCTCGGCTTCCTGTTGTTATTGAGGGACAATTCTATAGGTCTTTTCCTTAAGAAAAATGATAAAGATAGTTTTATTAAGGAAGGAATGAGGAAGGGTTGACACCATTGAGTTATGGAGATGAGAGAGAAACATTAGAGGTTGGATGTGTAAAGGTAGTTGAGGATTTTATGAGAAAAAAATGTGGCTGACTAGATGGATCTGGCTTATTGCTGTTCATTTTTGCACAAAGATTGAGGAAAAGAGCCGGGCATGGTGGTGCATGCCTGTAATCCCAGCACTCTGGGAGGCTGAGGCAGGAGGATCTCTGGGAGTTCGAGACCAGCCTGGGCTACATAGTGAGTTCCAGGTCAGTCTCAACTACATAGTGAGGCCCTGTCTCAAAAAACAACAACAAAAAAAGCAAAACAAAGATTAAGGAAAAGTAGGCTTAGGTCCTTGTAATATGAAAGTCTACTTGTATTGAGGAAAGAAAGGAGAGTGATGAATATCTAGGTTAAGTGTGTTACATGCAGAACTTGATAGGCAAGGGGCTTGAATCCAGAGCCTTGAATATGCTAAGCAAGTGCTCTACTTCTCAACCACATCCCCAGCCCAATGGTGCAAAATTTTAATATCCTGGGAAGAATACTGTATAGGTTAACATAATTTCTGCATTACACTGACATAATTTCCCTATTTCTCAGTAATGCATGAACTAGTTTGCATTATGTAAACTTGTGGTGATAACGAATATATTGTATGTTTAAATGGAGTAGGTAAGGGAAGCAGTATGAGATAGTTACAAAAGCAATGAGACATTCCTGGAAAGATACTGAATTCTGTTCTAGGGATGCTTAACTTGATTGTTTTGTTTTTTGCTTTTGTTTTGTGGAGCTGAGGATTGAACCCAAGACCTTTGTACTAACCTACATCCCTACTCCTTTTTATTTTTATTTTTTACTTTTTGTACTGGGGATTGAACTCGGGACCTTGCCTCTGTGAGGCAGGCGGCAGAACTACTGAGCTAAATCCCCAGCCCAACTCCTTTTTATTTTTTGAGACAAGTCTTGTTATATTGTCTGTGCTGGATTTGAACTTGTGATCCTCCTGCATCAGTTTCCAAGAGTGCTGAGATTATAGGGATGTACCACTATGCTTCGTTGTATAGGTTGTTACTGTTCTTGTATTTTTTTATGTGAGAGTAAAGCACCAGCTAGACATAAATTGGACTAATGTGGATGTGGAAAATGATGAGAAAGATTTAGGATACCTTTGTCAAATTAGTATAGTATTGAACATTTTGATCCTTTGTTTATGTCACTGTGTCAGGTGTCCTCAAGATCACATCCAGAATTGCTGACTAAAAGAGGACTTACAGAATTTACCATACAATTTATACACAGCTATATTTTATTACAATGAAAGGACTCAAAACACTGTCAGCAAAAGGAAATGAGGCCCATGGAGTGAAATCTATAGGAAACCAGGTTAACGTTCCAAGGTTCTGCTCCACTTGAGTCACACATGATGCTTTAATTACCTCAGCAATTAGTTGTGACTACATTTTTAAACAGTAGTCTACCAACCAGGGCAGCTCATTAGATTTATTGCCTATAGTTTTTTGTTTTTGTTTTTTTTTTTGTTTTTTGTTTTTTGTTTTTTTTGGTACCAGGGATTGAACTCGGGTCTATTGTGCTTGCAAGGCAGGCCACCAAACAGCTGAGATAAATCCCCAGCCCTATTGCCTATAGTTTTTATTGGGTACTGGTCGCATAGGCTGCCTCTTCCTGGCACTTAGTAAAGTTTTAAATTTCCGGAGGCAAAGCAGGTGTTTAGCATAAAACTTATTGTTTGCATGCCTAGCTTAGGCACAGTGAGCCACTTTTTATCAGTTCTGGGAGTTGCAGGAACTTTCCTAAATCCAATTTGTAGACTCTAGCCAACATCTTTTGGTGTTTTGGTTTTGGTATTGGTCTTGGTGTTGGTCTTATGAGACCATGGTTTACTGCCTGCTGGCCTTGAACTCACTGTGTAGCCCATGATGGCCTGTAATCCTCTTGGCTCAGCCTCCTGAATGCTGGGATTACAGACATGCACCACCGCATAGCAGCTCACAGCCTTTGTAAGCCAAGAAATCAAGTCTTTTCTACCCATGGTATATCATTGTCTTAATTTTCATTTCCTTTATTACTTAAAGTTAAATATCTTTTTATTCTAAAAGTTTTTTTTTTTTTTTTTTTTTCCTTCCAGTTTTTTGAGACAAGGTCTCCCTATTAGTCTGGCAAGCCTTGAACTCACTATGCAGCCCAGGCTGGCCTTGAACTCATGCCTTAGCTTCCTGAGGTCCTCCTGCCTCAGCTTCCTGAGTACTGGGATTACAGATGTGTGCCACCATGCCTGGCATTCTAAAAGCTTTTTTAAAAAATGTCTGTTTTTCTTTTAGGTCTAAGTGGGTTTTTTAAAGTCTGTTTGTATTTCTGGTTAATATTAATGTGTATATATGTTGGTGATAGTGGTGATGGTTAGTGCAAAGTTAATTTGTATTTTGTAATATTTTCTACCTCCTGTGTTGCTACATATCAAACACAAGGCCTTGTGCCTGCCAGTGTATTTTGGTCTATTTTATAAAATTAGCGTTGTTTACTTTGTGCTTAACCCTAAAATAATGTACTTAACCATATTAACTATCTTAATGTTTTCATTTTATAATTTCAACTTTTACTTTCTTTCTATTATCACAAGTCTGCTCTTTAGGATGGTAGAAAGTGAGTTCAGTTTCCAAATTTTGAAGTTGCTTTTTAACTTGAAGGTAGGATTATTCTGAAACTAGGTTTATTCTGTGAATTGTGAGGGTGATTTTAACAGTGGAAAATCTTTGTATTTAATACCTTAGATGGCAGCTGTCAAAAGGAAATAGGATCATGGCAGCAGATGATGACAATGGTGATGGAACAAGTTTATTTGATGTCTTTTCTGGTAAGGCTATTTTCAATTGTCTTAAGTTCACTTATTGTTATTTTTTAAAATTTTTTGTGCTGGGAATTAAACCCAGAACCCTACACATGCTAAGCATAATACTGCCACTAAACTAAAGTCCCAGCATCACTTTTTAAAATTACAAAGCATTTATTCTCATTATCGCTATCATTATCAACTTTTTCTCCCCACACATAAGTAAGCAAGTACAGTACAATGCCTGGAACACAACAAGTGCTTAAAAAATGTGAACTTTTTTTTCTTTTTTGTGGTGGTGAGGATCAAACCCAGGTCCTCACATATGCTGGCCAAGGCAAGCACTCTATGACTAAGCTCCACCCCCAGCCATCTACTTTTTTATTTAAAAAAATTTTTTTTTGGTAGTAGAAATTGAATGCAGAGCCTTAACACTGCGTTACCTCCCCAGCCCTTTTTATTTTTGAGACAGGATTTTGTTAAATTGCCCAGGCTGGGCTCACATTTGCAATACTCCTACCTTAGCCTCCCACAGTGCTGAGATTGCTGCTGTGTGTTACCACACCTGACTGTGTGGGGTTTTTTTGCTTTGATTTGATTTTTCATTGTTGGTGCTGTTTTTTTTGGAGTGGGGGGTACCGGCTCTCGAACTCAGGCCCTTGTGCTTGCAAGGCAGGCGGCAGAACCACTAGCTAAATCCCCAGCCCTGTGGTGGTGGTGGTGTTTGTGTTTGTGTTTGTGTTTTTTGCTTTGAGATGGAGTCTCCCCATGTTAGCCTCGAACTCCTAAACTCATGCAGTCTTCCAGCTCAGTCTTCTGAGTAGCTGGCATTATAAGTGCATACCACCATGCTTAGATGAGCTTTTCTTTTTATATTCTTTCAAACCTCTAAGTGTAAGCAAGTTAGCAGTTTTGCCAATTTGAAATAACTTCTGTTGTCATATCCAAAATAGGAATTGAAATTAATATTTCCAGTAAATGCAGTTATGTTTGTATGTTATTCAGATTAAAAATAATAGTCACAGGGCTGGGGATTTAGCTCAGTGGTTCTGCTGCCTGCCTCGCACGTGCAAGGTCCCAACTTCAATCCCTGGTACCCCCACAAAAAAAGATAGTCACAATGGAAGATTAGGCTGAAAAAGAGAAAACCAAGACCTGGTAGAAAAAATAAAAGTGTAAATAAGTATTAAAATGTATACTTTTTTGTTTGTTTGTTTTTGTTTTTTGAGACGGGGTCTTGATATGTAGTTGAGACTGACTTGGAACTCACTATGTAGTCCAGGCTGGTGTCGAACTCTCACACTGATCCTCCTGCCTTAGCCTCCCAAGTGCTGGGTTAACAGGCGTGCACCACTATACCCAGTTTAAAATGTGTAATTGACTGAGTTAGATCCCTGGTACCAAAAAAAAAAAAGTATAATTGATATTGTGTAATATGAAGAAAAGTCTAAAAGAGTAGAGGATGTGAGAGGGGTAGGGAAAAGGTAAAAAGAAGAGAAAAAATATGTGAAAAGGAAAAACATGGAAACAGTGTCTTTGTAAACAGGGAAGGGTGGAGAGGCTGAGGGGAGGGCTGGGGAATGGGGAAAAATAAGAACCTGATAAGTCATATGTAGGTACAAGATCCCAATGATGAATGTAACTGATATATACCAATAAATTTAATAAAGATTTAAAAAAAAGACCTGGTAGTAAAACAAACTCATAAATTGGACATGGTGATGCACGCCTATAAACCCCATACTCAGGAGGCTGAGGCCTCAAGTTGAAGGCCAAACTGAACTACATAGCAATACCCTGTCTCAAACAATTTTTAAAAAATAGCTTATAAAGCCGTTTTTTGTTTTGTGGGTTTATTTATTTTTTTAGTGGTGAGAATTGGATCCAAGGTTGTACACGTTCTAGGCATTTCTGCCATGAGCCCAGCCCTAAACAGAAATACTTTAACATACAGAAGTTGTTTCTGAGTCCTAATATAGTGTTTATTTATTTATTCAATACACATGGAACTCAGGGCCTCCTGCATGCTATGCAAGTATTCTACCATTACCATTAAGCTATATCCCTAGCCCTCTGTTGTAACATTTATTCATTTCTTTTAAATAGTTATATTTGGGGCCAGGGATTTAGCTCAGTGGTTCGGTGGCCTGCCTTGCAAGCGCAAGGACCCGAGTTCAATCCCTGGTGCCCCCCCAGTAGTTATATTTGACCTCATTTAATTTGTTTAGATTGTAGATATATTTGTTGACAAGAATTATGATTAGTGTGATATATAATGAAAGGGACAGTTATAAAGCAGATTTAGACCACTCATGGTGGAAGATACCAGTAATCCCAGCTACTTGGGAGACTGAGACAGGAGGACCTTGAGTTTGAAGCTAGCCTGGGCAACATGGTGAAACCCTATTGCAAAACAAAAAGCATGTTTAGTAGAATTTTACTTTACTTAGAAATGGTTTCTTTCAAAATTAGTATCATACAGCTAGAGATGTGGCTCAGTGTTAGAAGGTTTGCCTAGCATGATTGAAGCTTGTATTTTTTTCTCCAGAATTGTTTTTTTTTTTTTTTTAAATCAGTAGAGCTGGGGATTTAGCTCAGTAGTTCCGTTGCCTGCCTTGCAAGCGCAAGGAGCCATGTTGGATCTCTGGTACCGCCCCCTTAAAAAAAAGCATTAAAAAAATCAGTAGTCATAAATAGACAAAGGCCAACGTAACATAACTATGCTAGGTAGTAGTATGGTGTTAAATATATTGCTGATGTATTTTCACGATGTTATGCTGCCATATAGTTCTGTGGGTTTTCTTGTTTTTTAGTTTTTTAAACTAACAGAAAAATGAAAAGTATAATGAACAGCTTTATTTTCACCTAGATTTACAAATGATTATATTTATCATATCTACAATTCTATTAAATTTTGAAGGAAAAACAACATTGTTTTTGTTTTTTGGTGGTTTTTTTTGTTTGTTTATTTTTTGAGACAGGGTCTCACTATGTAGTGACCTGGAGCTCACTATTTAGCCCAGGCTGGTCTCAAACTCCAGCAATTCTCCTGCCTCAGCCTCCCGAGTGCAGGGACTACAGGTGTGCGCCACCACACCCAGCTAAAACAACATTGTTAATTTCATTTGCTAGATACAACAGTTTTCATTTCTGTGTAGTACTTTCAGGTTCTTGTCCACGCACATACTGGTTTGTTTGTTTATTTTGTTTTATTTTGGGTTTTTTGCTGTATTAGGAATGGAACCCAGGGTCTTATGTGTGATGGCAGTTAAGTCTCTTTACTAGTATTGTACATTTTCATATAAAATATAGAATCTTGTATTTGTATAGTTGTATAAATACAACTATACAAATACAAGTCTTCCATCTTGCTCTAAAATATGACATCTATGTCATAAGTCCCACATTATTGTAATTACTGTAATTAAATGCTATAACTTTCATTTAGCCCTATGTATCTTAATAGAATTAAGAAGGATTAAAAGAAAATAAGAAGAAAAATTAGTCTTTTGTAGTTACTCAATTATTTTATCATCTAGTGTTGCTAGTTCTTCTAGCATCCTTTAGTATCTGTAAAATACCATTTCCCTGTAATTGTCTTATTTGCTTCTGGAGTCCAGATATATATTATATGAGAATTGTTGATATCCTAAAATCACTAACACTCATTTTTTTCTCTCTGCTCTACAGATTGGGTAATTTCTTTTGAAGTATCTATTAATCCACCTAGTGCATTGGCTCTACAGTTGTAGAAATTTTTCATTGGATTCTTTTTTGTTGTTATTGTTAAGAGTGGGAAAAATTTATTGAGGGGAAAAAAAGCTTCTGTCTAAGAGAGACAGAAGATGGACCAGAAAGTGGGTTGCCCTCTCACCCTAATTTTCAAAGATGTTTTATACAGCAAAGCCATGTGGTGAGGCGGTTACAAGTGAGACAAAACTGTAAGACCCAATGGAGAATTATGAGGTGGGGCAAAACCATGACCAACCAATAAGATCACAAATACAGTCACCCAGGTAATATTGATTAAATGGGGGTCAAATGGAGCAAGTCACATAGCAAGTGTATACACGGATTTTCAGTAAGAGTGGGGGTCAGGGATATTACCTGAAAGGCTGGGTTAAGACCCTGCCCCCCCAACTCAGATGATTGAAACCTATTTGGAATATTAGTCACTGCTATTTATCCCCAGGGGAAGCACAAAGATGTAGCCTCTCCTTTTACAATTGTGGCCTTCAGTGAATGTGTCTTGATTGTCCTCCATGTTGGCTCTGTACTGTGTTGGCTCCTTGAGGGGAGCCTATAAGATAATCTAATTAACTTTTTTGAAAACTTTTCTTAGACCTTCAGGGTAGGAATGGAAAAAACTTCAGTGTATAAAGTAAATTTTAACCAGTCTTTGCTGTTCTTGTAGCTTCTCCTCTCAAAAATAATGATGAAGGCTCATTGGACATATATGCTGGGTTGGACAGTGCTGTTGCTGGTAAGTAAGTTCCATCGAATAGTCTCATTTTATTTGGTCAGTTTGTTATGTTTGTTTTGTTTTTACAATTCCTGGTAACCTCATACTTCCTAAATTTGCCTATTCTTTGAAATAATTGCACTCAGGTAATTTTCCTACCCAAAGCTTGATCTGTAAAACAAATTAGTATATAGGTTTGTTATTCATCTAAGTCTCAGATTTAAATGGACCTGTACAAAGATATTATGTACCATTGAAATGCAGCTGGTGCTGTTGTCTGTTACTGTTCATTGTGTCACATACGTTATGACTTATTGTGTCACAGAACATTTGACAAACGTTGTTACTATAGATATTTTCAAATGTAGCAGTAACTACATAATAGGGACCTATACTATGATAATAGGGACCTATCTACATATAAGATCTTTTCCATAGAAACTTTTTCCATGATCAGATCTTTCAATGTTTTGAAAAAATTTGATCATACTTTAAAAAAAATTTTTGATCATACTTGATTTGTTGGCACAACCATTTTATGTAACTGGTATTCCAGCTGTCATCTGGGAAACCAGTGTAGATTTGAATAAAATGTAGGAAGTGGAGAAATGATATTCCTTTGAGGTAGATATATCAAGAAGCCTAACAAATATTTTAACGTAAGGGTTTTTGTTTGTTTTAGACAGCACTTCCAAATCCTGTGTGCCATCCAGAAATTGTTTGGATTTATATGAAGAGATCCTGACTGAAGAAGGAACTGCAAAGGAGGCAACATATAATGATGTATGGGTTGCCACAGTTTTTAAGAACAGATATTTACTATTTTGTAGCCCCTAGATAGCAGGTAGCAGCTTATTCTGTGTTCAGGAATTGGTTCTTTGATTAAGAGTATTTAAGTCAGTTTTTGCCTTCAGACCTATTTTTAAGGGAATGCTTTCTGACTACTTTTCTAAATTTAGTGACAATTCTGATTGACTAAGTTTAAGTGTCTGAATATATAAACCTCAGCAAGCATTCAGTGTAATACAACATTTTATTTTTTATGATTTGTGCTGTTATATATTTTCTATAAAAAAAGTTCTGAGACTTAAATGAGACAAATTTCTACTGTATTTGAATTTTAGGGTTTGGAGGTTAAATATGAAATTTAACAGAATATGTAGTTTAAAACAACTTTAGAACCAGTTAGTTACTAAATATCTTTAGACCTAGTCAATACTTTTTACTGGATTGATGTGCAAAATTTTAAATATTTTGAAATGTTATTTAAACTAGTAAAATATTTACAGCATTCTGGGAGGCTAAGGCAAGAGGATCTCAAATTTGAGCCCAGCCTGGGCAACTTAGCAACTTTGTGAGGCCCTGTCTCAAAACAAAAAAGGCAGTGGGTGTAGCTCAGTTGAAGGCCCTGGGTTCAACCCACACACACACCCCATATGGGGAATGGGAGCAATATCTTAGAATGACACTTAAATTATTCTTTTTATATTTTACAGCTACAGGAAAAATATGGAAAATGTCAGCTGCAGATGAAAGAACTGATGAAAAAATTTAAGGAAATACAGACACAGGTAGGATTGTAGTGAATATTTTATTTATTTTTGCCCTATTAACTTTGTTTGTTTGTTTGTTTTTCTGGGTAGGAATTTATTTACAGAGTCCATCGAAAAATATGGAGTGCTTCACAAATTTGTGTGTCATCCATGCACAGGGCCATGCTAATCTTCTCTGTATTGTTCCAATTTTAATATATGTACATTGCTGAAGTGAGCACTTTTTTGTTTGTTTTTTTGAGACAGGTTCTCATTAAGTAATCCAGGCTAGCTTGTAACTTGCTACGTAGCTCAAGCTGTCCTTAAATTCACAATCCTCTTACTTCAGCCTCCAGAGTGCTAGAATTACAGTTGTATGCCACCACAGCTGATTTAAAACAGGTTTTTATTTTGTTTCTGTGATACTGGGGATTGAACTCAGGGCGTTGCTGAGCTACACTCCCAGGCTTTTTTAAAGTTTTGATTGAAAAAGATCACGGGGCACATGCTTATAATCCAGCACTCAGGAGGCTGAGACAAGAGGACCTTGAGTTTGACACTAGCCTGGTCAACATGAGACCTTGTCTCAATAAAACAGAATAAAACCCTGGATTCAATCTCTAGAACTGAAAAAAACATACCTAAGAGTATTTTGAGCTCAACAAAGTGATATGTGCCTGTAGTCACACCTGCTTGAGAAGCTGGGGCAGAAGGTCACTTCAGCCCAAAAGTTCAGGACCAGCAACATAGTAAGACCCCTTCCTCATCAGTTTAAAAAAAATTTTGTTTTTGTTATAAAAAGAAATTTAAAATGCAGTTCATTAAGAAGTTTTTTTTTCTTTTGTTGTGCTTGGGATTGACCCCAGAGCCTCATGCATGTCATACAAGCTTTCTACCACAGAGGTACACTTTTTTTTGGCTATTTTTATGAATGGAAATTAAAATACCAAGTGTCAGCCCTTCATAAGGAATGGTTGTTTTGAGGGATTTTTTCTCTTTTCTGCTGGAGATTGGCCCATGCTAAGCATGTACTCTGCCATCAAGGTGTCAATCCAGAGTTTGCCCTTGGAGTTTTAAGACAATGTCTGATTGTAGTTCAGGCTGGCCTTGAACTCACTCTACAGCTCTGACTGCCCTCAAACTCTTGCTCCTCCTGCTTCAGCCTCCCAAATGCTGGGATTATGAGTGTGTGCCACCATACCTGGCTTTGTCATTTTATCTTTATCTGATGAAGTTGATATAGATACAGTGCTGAATTGTTAAAAAGACATTGACACTGGGCATGGTGGTAAAAGCCTAAAAGGCTGCAGCTAGGAACATAGCTGTGATTTCAGAAAACCAAAAAGAAAGAAAAAGACATTGACAAGAAAGATCTGTTAGATTTAGAACAATAGTTAGGAAAAAAATTTGTAGAAATGGCAGGTAGCTTAAGATAGTTCAAGATCTCAATGGTTTTGAGGAGCAAAGATTTAGGGTGGCTTTGTGGAAAAATAGCTGCCTTTGCAATTATTACTGGAAGGGCCTTTTTTGTGATTGAGCTGCAGAAGTAAGGAATGTGATGTCCTGGTTTAGTTTTTTTGTTTGTTTGTTTGTTTATTTTGAGACAATCTCCCTATGTAGTTCAGGCTGGTCTCAAATTTATGGTTATCCTCCTGCCTCAGTCTCCAATTGCTGTAATTATAGGCATGCACCAACACACCCAGCTGGTTCACAATTTTTTTTTCTTTCGTAAAGTTTATTATACAGTACAGTTATATTCATCATTGGGAACTTGTACCTTTACATGATGTATCTTGAACGTATCTTGGTTCTTATTTTTTCCCCATTCCCCTGTGATTCGAACCGGAAATCGAACTGGGGTCCTTGTGCAGCAGAACCACTGAACTAAATCCCCAGCCTTTTCTTTTTGGTACTGGGGATTGAACTTGGGACCTTGTGCTTGTGAGGCAGGTAGCAGAACCACTGAGCTAAATCCCCAGCCCGTTCACAATTTTTAATAAAATTATTTTTCTTCTTTTCTCTGTCTCCTGAAGAAACCAGTCAATGTTAGATTCATTTTTTTGTTTATCCATGATTGTAAATTTAACTTGTTAAATATAATAGAATTCTTATCTTTTTGTTTGTTCTCTTTTTTGAGACAGGGTCTTCTTATGTAGTCCATGCTGGCCTTGAACTCACTATGCCCAGGCAGGTTTTGAATTCCTATCAAGCCTCCTGCCTTAGTCTACTGAGTGTTGGGATTATAGGCATGTGCCACCATCCTCAGCTTGTCATTTTTTATTTTTAATTTTCAAAATAATGATTTTGGCCAAACTTTTTTTCACTGCTATTTACTATTTTTCTATATTGATCCCTGTTTTAAGTAGTTTCACTGTTAGTAGGCTTTTTCTGGTGCCTTCTTTGAATCTTACTTTTCCTGTCTATGTAATGGGGATAATAGTAATTTTCATGGGACTTCTTTTTGTTGGCGGGGGGTTCTGGGGATCTAACTTGGGTCCTTGAACTTACAAGGCAGGCAGAGGAACCACTGAGCTAAATCCCCGGCCCTCATGGGGCTTTTTGAGCATTGCTTAAAATAAAATATGTGATGCCTAGCTCGTATTTAACCTTCAATACTTATTAGCTAATATAAGCAGTATTTTGAATAATTCTATAGAGAGGTATTTTAATATGCTTTATTAATTTATATTTTAGAATTTCAGCTTGAAAAATGAAAACCAGTCTCTTAAGAAGAATATTTCAGCACTTATCAAAACTGCCAGACTGGAAATAAACCGCAAGGATGAAGAAATAAATAATCTTCACCAAAGGTACAACTAAGGGTATATATCTATATAAATTATACCAGCATTGATACATGGAATGTTTTTCAGTTTGAGTGGAAGATAAAAATATGTATTTTAGCCAGGAATTTAGTTCAGTGGTGCTGCCTGCTTCGCAAGCGTGAGATCCTGAGTTCGATCCCCAGTCCAAAAAAAAAAGGCAAAAATACGTATTTTATTAAACAAGATTTCATATGAATAGTGACTAATATGCTAGTGGTTTATAGAAAACATTATCACATGCCTCTTCTGTTTATTCAGTTTTCTAAAACATTAGGATCTTAGTATAGTACTTATGCGCCTCAGATGTTGTTGTGTTATGAGTTCTTCTAGGTACATACCAGATACTAAAATACCAGGAGAGCAGGGGCTGATAGGCAGGAAATACTCAGTGGTACAGTATATGCTTAGCATTCAGTAGGCCCTGGGTTCAATCCCTCACACCAAAAAGGCATCTGTGCTCACAGCCTTTATTAATTAAGCAGCCCTAAGCTGAGTGCATTAGCGCACATCTGTAATCTCAGCACAGGGAGTCTGAAGCAGGAGGATTGCAAGTTTGAGTCCTGTCTGGGCAAGTTAGTGTGACTTCCTCAAAAGACTTGGACTGGGGATCTAGCTTGGTGGTAGAGTGCCTCTGGGTTTAATCCTCAGTACCCCTCCCCCAAAACTCTCAAATGTCTGTTCTTTTCCCTCAAGTGGCTTTTCTCTATTAATTTTGCTCACTCTTCACTTTTTTTTTTTTTTTAGCGAGAGACAATATTCTGCTCTAGTAAGGTTCATAATTCTTCCTTTCATAACAAAAATCTCTGAAAAACTTGTCAGAACATGTGACTTTCATTTCCTCCTCCTCCTCTCTCTCTCTTTTTTTTTTAATTTAGTACTGGGGATTGAACTCAGGCCCACATACATGCTAATTAATTACTGTACCATTGAGCTGCATCTCAGCTCTTACTCATTTTTTTTGAGAAAGGGTCTCATTCAGTTCCCCAGGGTGGCCTTAAATTTGGGATTGTCTTGCTGGAGCCTCCCAAGAAGCTGAGATTATAGGCATGTGCCGCTACATCTGGCTTCTTTCTACTCACTTTGAATACAATCCATTCCAACTTTTGCCTCCATTCATTGGTAGAAACAGCTGTCGCTTGAGTATCATTAAGTTAATCAAATAGTTTCGACCTCCCACTTAATTGTACGCATGCACATTATTTGATATGTCATTGACTCTCACTTCCTGAATAATCTCTCGCTTTGGCTTTAGTGATCTGATGATTTTTTGCTTTCTTTATAATTCAAGTTTATTCTTCTGTACTTGATTGTTTTAAGTTTTGAGTCTTTCAGAGCTCAAGTCTATGTTTTCTTATCTGTATCAGTATTTTCTGATATTCTTACTCATGCTAGGTCAGTTGCATTTATATATTTGTATATATAAATAACTACTTTGTATCTACACATAAATATCTTTAAAGGATTTTAAAATTACCTCATCAAAAATGAATTTGTCATCAAACTCTTTCCATTGTTAGCTAGCTCATTGGATTTTCCTATCATTTATTCTATTAGTGTAAGTCAGGGATCTAGGTGTAGGGTAACCATTTAATTTATTGCCCTCACTAGAATACTTTTGAGAAGAGAAGGGGATGCTGTTAATAATTGCACACTAAGACTGCTTGGCAAGCTAGGACATAGTCACCCTGACTAGGAATTGCCTTTTATATTTAAGTCTCACTCATTTTACAGAGCCAGTTCATCATCACATTCTGTTGATTTTTATGTCTTTTTAATCCCTCAAATCATTTATTCTTTTTTTTTGCTGTGGTTGTCACAGCCCATCCATAGCTCATATGAACTGGCAGCAAGCAATCTTTGAATGTGGAAAAATAATAAACCCCAAGAATATCTCTGCATCCTTTTTTTTTTTTACATTAGGTTTATTGGTATATTTTAGGTATACAATACAGTGACTTTCATCATTGGGAACTTGTACCTTTACATGATGTATCTTGGTTCTTATTTTTTCCCCATTCCCCTGCCCTCCCTTCAACCCTTCCACTGGGCCTCTTTATTTTCAAAGACTTTGTTTCCATTTTTTTCCTTTTCTCATATTTTTTTCTTTCCCTTCTTTCCTTTCTCCTACCTCTCCCACTTACCCTTCCCCTTTAGACCTTTTCCTATTTTACATTATCAGTTATACACCTTGATCCTTATTTATACTTTCAGTTTTTTACACCAGAGAAAATATTTGGTATTTACACATGTGTGTCCTATTTATTTTGCTTAAGAGTGTGGCCTCAGTGTTTCTGTATCCATTCTTAATCTCTAGCCTTTGGTTTGTCTTTTCAGTGTTAGGACACAGAACGTGTTCTTAAGCACAAATTCTAGCCATCTTACTATGAAAAAATACCCCATTCCTCCTTTTCTTGATTTAAAACATATCAGTGGCTTTTCATTGATCTTAGGATAAAAGATCATAAATCTTAACCTGGCCTACAAGACCCTTCATACTAAAGTCCCAAACTACTTCTCCATCCTTCCTTCAGTACTTATCTTGGCCCTAGGTGTTACATTCTTTCTATTCCTGGGAGGTGCCATGCATTCTGCCTTTCTGTGGAGCTATTTCTACTGCCTGGAATGATCGTGTCATTCACCTGCTAAATGTGTGCTATATATTCTCAGATATCAGCTGATACTGATTTATTCTTATTGTCTAGGTCACATTTCTTTTTTGTAATATGTATATTTTCAAATCCTGAGTAGGATTACTTGATTAGTATCTTCCACTAGACTGTAAAGCTTCTTTGAGCAGGGACTATATCTATTTGTCCTCACCATTTTTTCCACATACCTAGGACAGTGCTTGGCACATTCTAGATAGTCATTTGGTGAGTAAATGAAGTCATTGTAAGGACTATTATACACTACAGAGGCACCTCAGTTCTAATTCTTTCCCACTATTCTGGTTACAGAATTCATTTCATGCTAGTATCCACTGTATTTAGGCATTTTGAAAATAAAGATAGGAAAAAAGTGATAATGTGCATTTACTAAGCTAAATTATTTTTCCCACTGCACCTAGCATAAGTTTGGTTCCTAAATGGTTAGGGAAGTTTGTGTGTGTGTGTGTGTGTGTTTGAGTCTTTTGAGGGAAGGACATGGAGTTTGTTTAGGGAGAAAAGAAAAACTCAGTGAATAAAATGACAGAAGTTACTTTATTAGTTGTTAAGCATTGTCTCATAAAAGTTCTGTCAACTATTTATACTTTTGTGAGCTATTACTCATATTCTAATAGTAAATATTTATCATTTTGTTGAAACTTAATGTTTAGTGAATTAAAAAACTGAAATTAACATGAATTGAAAATAAGGTCATATGCTGCAGTATTGTGGGTTAAAACTACAGCATCTGAATGTGTTGGGGTAGGAGGAACAATTCTATTCATGAAAGAATCCATAAAAAGTCTGTTACACTTTGCTTTTAGTTTTTTGTCTCATAAGTCTTCTTTTGCTTTATAAGCATCTCCCCTAACTTCTAAGTTTTTTAATTTGGGAGGTGTCCATGTGTTTAATATTAACTAGGAATAGATTTTTGAAAAGTAATGGTTGATTTGGAAGTGTGGGAAGATGAAGTTATTACAGAAAGTTAAAATGAACTATATACATTTTATTGCTAGGCAAACTACCAGTTTTTCAAACATTAAAACTTTAAGACTTAGGCTTTTTTAAAGTGATAAATACATATCATTCTCCTAAAGAGTGAATCACAACTCTCTATTCCTTTTTATTTTTGCATACTATGTATCATTTTAAGATGGCTGCCAAAAACTGAGTATAGTAGCACATGCCTGCAGTTCCAAGATTCAGGCAGCTAAGACAGGAGGATTGAGAAATCAAGGCCAGCCTGGCTACATACCAAGACCCCATCTCAAAGAACAAAATAAATAAAAAAGATGGCTGTTGATCCTGTGCTTTATGATAGGATTATATGTGGAAACTAGGACATTGAATTCTATAAAGTATACTTTGATTATGTCTGTAATCCAACAAGGTTTTACTTTTCTTTCTGTTTTAGTTAGGCTCATGTGAGTGAGGGAAAGAAAAGAAGGCATGTGTTCTAAAAGAAGTGAACTTGTAATTGATTTGGGAGTTGTGTATCCTTGATAAGGGAAGTCTTAAAAGAAATTGTCGAGTGCTGGGATAGATTGTCTTTGAAACAAAGCAAATAAGAAATAGCTGGGCATGGTGACACACATGTGTAATCCCAGTGCTCAGAAGGCTCAGGAAGAAGGATAGCACAAGTTCAAGGTCAGCCTACGCTATATAGTGAGTTCCAAATCAGTCTGAACTACATAGTGAGGTCCTATCTGAAATAAAAGAAAGAGAGGGAGAGTTACTTACTTTTGAAAAGTGTCTCATTTAATTAGAAACTGATAAATTATTTACTGGTTTAATTCATTCATCATTATGTTTATTTTCCCTAGTTCTAAGGATTGAACTCAGGGCCTTGCATGTGTTAGGCAAGCGTTCTACCATGAAGCTACATCCTCAGTTCCAATTACTGTTTTATATAAAATATGATTATGACACTTTTAAAACTGAGGGGCCTACATGTGAATAAAATTTAAAAGATCACCACCAATTAACTTTGCTTTTTTGTCAATTTTTATTTCTCAATAGATTGTCTGAGTTTTCTCATTTTCGAAATAATCATAAAACTTCAAGAACATCAGATGCAGTTAGAACAAAAGATCTTAGATCCAGATCTCCCCATTTGGATGATTGTTCAAAGACTGATCACAGAGTTAAAAGTGATGTTTCCAAAGATGTACATCATAACACTTCACTGCCAAACCTGGAAAAAGAAGGAAAATCACATTCTGAAAAAAAGAACACTTCATATTTGCCTTCATCCGTTGAGAAACATAGCACCAATGGCATGTGGTCACGTTCCCATTATCAAGTTGGTGAATGTAACTCAAATGAGGATAATAGAAAAGGGAGAAAAGATATTAGACATAGCCAATATGGCAGAGGAACTGATAGAATACGAAAAGATTTAAGTAATAGCCTTGGTGCGAGTGAACCAAGAAACACAGAGACTAGTCCAAGGCTACAAGGACATGCTGAGAAACATGGTAAAAGTGAACCAAAGGCTGAAAGCAAACACTCAATGTTCAAAAATAACATAGATTTGGATTATAGAAGTGAACGTGGTAGCTCCTGTTGGGAGAAAGAGACATCTAGAGAAAGGTCATACATGCGAATAGAATCTCAAAATGACAAAAAACTAGAAAGACAAAGTGAAAGATTACAGAATACAATTAGAAAAGAATTTAAATCACAGGACAGAGAAGAAAGAAAAGTTGATCCAAAACTTAAATCAGTAATAAAAGACCAGGATGACTGGAGGAGATCTGAACGAGCATCTCTTCCCCATTCTACAAATGAATTAACATCTCATAGTTCCAGTAAATACCACCCAGAAGAGAGAAGAGGAAAGGAAGATTGTAAAAGAGACAGGAATGTGAGCAGTCATAATTTTCAAGTTGGAAGAAGTTCATCATCTCTTTCAAGTACTAGAACTCACAAACACATGGAGTTCAAGGAAGCTGATGCTACACACCAACGGGAAAGTATACCTTTAAAAGCAGAAAGGCACAGAATTGAAGATAAGAGGAAAAGAGAACGAGAAAACAAAGAAGAAAATAGGCATATGAGAAATAACAAAAAGTCACCTGCAGAACATTTGCTGAAGACAAATAAAGAAATTAAAAAAATTGCTACTGAATTAAAGGAACAGAATGGGACAAAAAATGATAAAAATGAAGTCACTAATAATGAAGTTTCTGAAGGAATGGATAATAAATTGTTTTCAATGAAAGCAGAGAATGCTACAAAAGAAACAAACAATAAAGACTTAAAGTTAAGTTTTATGGAAAAACTGAACTTAACTCTTTCTCCAGCTAAAAAGCAGCCTGTTTGTCAGGATAATCAACATAAAATAACTGAAACTTCCAAATCCATTGACGTAAGTGGTTTGCAGACCTTGGTGCAGACTGAAAGAGTGACATGTGTGCCCTCTGTCAGTAAACATATCACTGAAAAAACCAGATCCAAGTTACTGAAACCAAAGGATGCTCTTCCAGCATCATCTGAACTCAGAAGCAATAGTCCAGAAAGCAAAATAGAAGAAACTAGTTTGCTGGTTAAATCTGTTGAGATTACTATGCCTTGTGAAGTGCCCATTTTTGATCCAGAGACTTCCTTCACATCTGTAGAAACAAAACAAACAGAATCCTTGTTTACATCAGCAGAAATGGAAAAAACCGTTGATGGTGCAACAGCAGCAGATTCTGTGGTAATTAATGTATTGCAGACAGATGGCTCTCAAAACTTTAGCCTGGAATTGAATAACAAAAGACATGATGGTTTAAATTCTTGTGATGTTTCTAAAAGTATGGAAATGAAGGAAGGTCCTTCAACTAAAGTGGTTGAAACTAGTGAAAGCCTTCTGCAGCCTTCAGTTGAAGAAGCTAGCATTTTGCCAGTAAACCTTTCAGAAATTGATAACCCCAAATTTAAGCCTTCCCCTATACATACACCACTGAGTGAGAGTAAGTCTTGTCTTTTGGAGACCTGCATATCTGAAGAAGCTCTAGCATCTTCACTTCAGCAGACTGAATTAATGAACCACAGAAGAGAAATTGGAGAGACAAACTCTGTATATCATGATGATGAGAACTCAGTTTTAAGCATTGACCTCAATCATCTGAGGCCTATTCCAGAAGTCATCAGTCCTCTGAATAGTCCAGTAAGACCTGTAGCAAAAGTTCTTAGAATGGAAAGTCCACCTCAAGTTGCATTATATAATAAAGGTATTTTTCATAACATTAAAAGTAACATTCAGCCCTCATTGTGGTATACATTGAGCCTTTAAAAATCTAAATATAGATAAAGCTTTTTTCCCCCCAGCACTAGATTGAATCTGGTCTTACACATACTAAGTAGGTGCTCTCCTGCTGTGCTACACCCCTAGCCCATTTAATTCTTGATTTTTTAATATATTATTTTGTGTTACTGGGACAAAACCCAGGGTCTCAATCCTGCTAGGCAAAAGCATTCTACAACTTAGTTATATCACTGGCTAATTTATTTGGGGTTTTTTTAGGTAGTCTCACTATGTTACCCAGACTGGCCTTGAAGTCATGATCCTCCTGCCTCATCCTCCTGAGAGCTAGGATTATAAGCCACTGCACCTGGCTTAATTCTTTATTCAAAAAAGATAGCAGTAGAACAGATTACTTAAATTGTATTTCATTGTACTTTTATTTTTCAATGTCCTGCTAGTGTGAGTTTATTTTTTTATAGCAAAACATTTTTTGGTACATTTTAGGCACACATAATGATGCACTCTTCGTAGGGAATTTTTCTCCTGTGCATGATACGTCCTACCTCTTTTTTTCCCATTTCCCCTCTCCCTTCAAGCTACTTCCCCTCCTGTACTTTTTAAGATTATTGAAAGAATGAATTGACTCAGTATTTAATTTTTGTTATGTAGGATGGAAATGTCAAATGACCAAGACTCAATAGGTAAGGCTATAATAGTAGCACACACCTATAATCCCACAGGACTGAGGCTGGCTGAAACAGGAAAATTGCAAGTTCTAGTTCTGCCTAGGCAACTTAATGAAACTCAGTTCAAATAAATAAAATGTACTAATAATAGTAATAAAAAAAAGCTGAGATATAGGTACTGTTATTGGGGGAAAAAGAAACCTCAATGGCTATGTGACTTTAACATACTTTTCTCTTTGCAGGTGTGGTTTTACCAAATTCAGCTCATTCAACTTTCAAGAGTCAGTCTGATCTCAACAAGGAAAATCAAAAGCCAGTTTGTAAATTTGACAAGTGTACAGAAGCAGACTCCTGTAAGAATTCATCTTTACATGAACTAGAAGAAGGAGAAATTATAACTGACAGTGAAGACTCCAACCTACAAACAAGTTTGGGAAAAAGTGCTAAGTCTAGGTCTTCTGCTGCAGTGCAGAACACAGAAACTAGCCCAGGAAGTAGGAAAAGTACTCATTTGAATATAGACCATAAGAAAACATATGTAAAAATCCACCAAAGCAACAGCAAATGGCATAAAAACCCAAGTGGATCTAAGCAATCTTCAAAAACAAAGAAAAAAGATGAAACAATGAGCACCTCCAGTTTGGAAAAAATAGTTTCAATTATTCCTGTGCCCTGTTCTATAGGAGAGATTATGCATATGTTACAAATGATTAAGAAGCATGTAAAGAAAAATTACATGAAGTTCAAGGTAAAGTTTTCATTGTTACAATTTCACAGAATTATTGAGTCAGCTATTTTGAGTTTTACATCGCTAATTAAACACCTTGACTTATCCAAGATTTCTAAGTCAGTAACTACTTTACAGAAGAATCTCTGTGACTTTATAGAATCTAAACTTAAGGAAGTTAAAAAAAATGGCATAGTTGACCGCTTATTTGAACAGCAACTGCCAGATATGAAAAAAAAATTGTGGAAGTTTGTAGATGAGCAACTTGATTATTTGTTGACAAAGCTTAAGAAAATCTTAGTAAAATTTTGTGATTCTATAAACTTTGGAAATGACAGTGATGAAGAAAAACTTGCAAAATCAAAAAAAGACAAAGTACTGTATTCTAATAGGCAGAAGGGAAATGTGGACAACTCCAACAAAGGAACACTAAGAGAAAAATTGCCAAAATCAGAGTACTCTGTAAATTGTAAGTCTTTACTGGGATCTAAAAAAACTGAGGAAAAATGCCAAGACCAAAATAACTCCAGCATTAACATAATAAAGCATGACACTAAAAAAAATTTTAACACCTGCTTTGATAATATGAAGAACTCTCAATCTGAAGAACACTCCTTGGAACTAAATTGTCCGAAAGACTCAAAGCCAACAGCAAATGAAGGCAGTGCTGTAGAGGATTCACAAATGCCCCAGCATGTATCTTCAAAGCCAGAACGTAGTTTTGAGATTCTTACTGAACAGCAAACATCTAGCCTTACTTTTAATTTAGTGAGTGATGCTCAGATGGGTGAAATATTTAAAAGTTTATTGCAAGGTTCTGATCTTTTGGACAACAGTGTTAATTGTACTGAGAAATCTGAGTGGGAGTTAAAGACTCCAGAGAAACAGCTGCTGGAGAGTCTTAAATGTGAATCCATACCAGCTTGTACAACAGAAGAGCTCGTTTCAGGGGTGACTTCTCCATGTCCTAAAATGATTAGTGATGATAATTGGTCTTTATTATCATCTGAAAAAGGTCCATCTTTGCCATCAGGTCTTTCTTTGCCAGTTCATCCTGATGTTTTGGATGAAAATTGTATGTTCGAGGTATCTACTAACCTAGCTCTAAATAAAGATACCATATGTAGTTCAGAAAAGAGCAAGCCCTGCATTTCTTCCATACTCCTTGAAGATCTCGCAGTCTCTTTAACTGTACCATCACCTCTGAAGTCAGATGGTCATCTCAGTTTCTTAAAACCTGAATTTTTGTCTAGTTCAACTCCTGAAGAAGTTATTAGTGCACATTTCAGTGAAGATGCCTTACTTGAGGAAGAGGATGCATCTGAACAAGATATTCATTTAGCTCTAGAGTCTGATAATTCAAGCAGTAAATCAAGTTGTTCATCCTGGACAAGCAGGTCTGTTGCTCCTGGCTTTCAGTACCACCCTAATCTACCCATGCATGCTGTCATAATGGAAAAGTCCAATGATCATTTCATTGTGAAAATACGGCGTGCAGCTCCATCTACTTCCCCTGGTCTCAAACAGAGTAAGGTAACCACTGAGTCATTGGCATCTTTGCCCAGAGATGAAAAAGAAATTGATACAGCAAAGAAAGAACATATTTCATGTCAGAACACAAGTTTTAAGTCTGTGGAGGATTTGGAAAATTGCAATAAAAATGATAGCAGTAAATCAGTTAATGAAGAACAAAACTCTATGATACAAACACAGGTTCCTGATATATATGAATTTCTTAAGGATGCTTCAGGTAAAGTAAGTCATAATGAAGTACCTGGTGATTGTTTCAAGTTGCATCAAGTATGGGAATCAAAAGTGCCTGAAAACATTGAAGCATTGCCTTCAACGGAAGAAATTCCACACTCTGTTGAGGATCATCTTCCAAACACATTAATAAACTTACCAAAAGATCCAGTCACTGAGACAAAAAACTTGGGGGAACTGATAGAAGTAACAGTTTTAAACATTGATCAGTTGGGATGTTCTGGAGACAATTTAGATCATAATGCTCGGATATTGAATAATTCTTTGCAGCCTGAAACTATAGAAGCTTTTATTGATTTGACACAGGATGCTCCAAACAAGAGTAAAAATGAAGGTAATCAATCTGTGTTGGCAGTGGAAGACCTGGAATGTCAAGTGATATGTGTAGATGAAGACAGCTGCAAGGAAAAGGTAGAAATGGCAGACAGGCCTTTGGAATACATTGTTGAAGAAACTTGTATAGACTTGACCACAGAATCTCCTGGTTCATATGAAGTAAAAGATGATTTAAAATTAGAACCAGCATCAAATTCTGATGGTTTAGAGTTGCCTGGGACTTTAGCTAATGTTCACAGGAAAAGAAAAAATTTTTCTGATCTAAATCACTCTTGTCAGAAAAAACAAAGAAAGGAAACAGACCTAACCAGTATGGAAAAGACTGCAAAACTGATCCAAGAGTCTAGTGAAGATGGTGACACTCTTCAAAAGAAAGCCAGTAAGAAAAAGGCAGAGACTAAAGATTCCTCATCAACAAGCCCAGGGATTAAAAATTCAGCAGCACCTAGCACTTCTACAAGTCTCTCTGCAAAGAATGTTATTAAAAAGAAGGGAGAAATTACAATTTTATGGACAAGGTAAGAATTTTGTGAAGCATTTTAATCACTAGGAAATTTTGAGAGGTCAACAGCCTTTTTTTGTACTGGGATTGGCACCACTGAGCTAAATTCCCGGCCCCTGGTCAACAGTCTAATCCATTCTAAAATAAGGAAAAAGTTACTTCCAAAAAGTTAGTTGAAGGTCCATTCAAGGGTATAGTAGCTGTACTGTAGAACAATCTAGAGTTACTTTTGTGTGTGTGTGTGTGTGTGTGTGTGTGTGTGTGTGATGAGAGGTCAACAGCCTTTTTTTGTACTGGGATTGGCACCACTGAGCTAAATTCCCGGCCCCTGGTCAACAGTCTAATCCATTCTAAAATAAGGAAAAAGTTACTTCCAAAAAGTTAGTTGAAGGTCCATTCAAGGGTATAGTAGCTGTACTGTAGAACAATCTAGAGTTACTTTTGTGTGTGTGTGTGTGTGTGTGTGTGTGCATAGTATTAAGAGATTGAACCCACGACCTCATATGTACTAGGCAAGTATTACCACTTAACTATATTCCCACTCCTTTTTATTTTTGAGATGGGGTCTTTTTTAAAAGAATTAATTGTATTGGTACATTTTAGATATACATAATAACATTCATCATATGGAATTTGTACCTATCCATGATATGTCAATTCTTTTTTTCCCCTTTTACTCCCTTCCCTTCAATCCCCTTTCCCCTCCTTATTTACAAAAGCTTTGTTTCCATTTTTCCTTCTCTTCCTTTTCCCTTCCCTCGCCCCATCCTCCTTCCCTTGTTCCCCTTCCCATTTGAACATTTTCTTCCTGCTTCCCAATAGCTATCATCCATTTTGGTCCTTATTTACAATTCAGTTTTTCACACCAGAGAAAACTGTATGATATTTGAACATGTGTGTCCCATTTATTTCACTTAAGAGTATGGTCTCGAGGTGCATCCGTTTATCTAAAAATGTCTTTTAAGTTTATCCTTCTTTATGGCAGAGTAGACAGGGTCTTGATAAAATTGCCCAGGCTGTCCTTGAATTTGGAAACCTCCTATGTAGCTGATATTACAAGTATACACCGTCATACCTTGGATTTACAATAATGAATTTTAACCAGGGGTGTGAATGAAGTCTCTTAGATAGAGCTTTTATTTTTTCCTTCCTAGGTAGAGCTTTTTTTTTGTTTTGTTTTTTTGAGACAGGGTCTCACTATGTAGTTGAGACTGACCTGGAACTCACTGTGTAGCCCAGGCTGGTCTCGAATTCACAGCGATCCTCCTGCCTCAGCCTCCCAAGTGCTGGGATTACAGGCGTGTGCCACCATGCCTGGCTGGTAGAGCTTTTATCTGTACTTTTTTAATTAAAAAAAATTCTTTGGAAGAAACAAGCATAAGCACATTTTAGAAGAAATGACAGTGAGGCAAAAATTGGGAGTGTTTGTAATTTGACTTTTACCCTCACATTAAAAGTTTCTGGTTTCCTAAGTAGGTTATACTTTTTAAGTTTTACGTGAACTTTTTAAAAATTACAGAACTTTTAAAATCAGACATAAATGTAACCATAGTTGTAAACCATTGTACTAGAGATGGGAAATCTCTAAACTTGATGAGAATGCTTAATGAAGGAAGCTGATTTTGTTAAAACTGGTGATATTTTTTAATCTCACAGTCCTCCAACCCTTATTTCAAGTAACTTGCAGGTATCAGAATAAAGTCTAAGAGATGATAATAACACATTCATTTAGACTAGGGCCGGGTATTTAGCTCAGTGGTTCCACTGCCTGTGCAAGGTCCCAAGTTTGATCCCCGGTACTAAAAAAAAAAAAAAAAGTATATGGTAAAATCTGGAAATTAGATGATCAGGACTCTTAATTGTGGTTCAGCATCTATGATCATCTTTGGGCTGGCTGGCTGGCTTTCTTTCTTTTTGCTCATACTGGGGATTGAACCCAGGGCCTTTGTACCCAGCTATATCCCCAGCCTTTTAAATTTATTTATTTATTTATTTTATTCACTAAGTTGCCGGGCTATGCTTGAACTTGTGGTCCTCCGGTCTCAGCCTACCAAAGTGCTTGGGTTACAAATGTGTATATTCTGCCACATACAGCAGGGCCCTAATATTTTGGGTTTTTTGCTTTGAATTTGTGGTGCTGGGAATTAGCCTCAGGGCCTTTTTACTGAACTACATTCTTAAGTTTGTATTTTTTTTTTGTATTTTGAGACAAGGTCTGGCTAAATTGCCTAGGCTGGCCTCAAACTTTTGATCCTTCTGCCTCAGCTTCCCAGAATGCTGGAATTATAGGTATGTGTCACAACTCCCAAAAGGGCCTTAGTATTTTAAGTAGCATAAATATTAACACATTTACAATCGTATGTCTCACTGCTGGGTGACTTGATGGACAGCTTTTTATTTTATTAGTAAAAATACTGATAAAAGTGATTAAATCCATTTGTACCACCAGTGGTACAAGCCACCCATTGGGATATTCAGTCATGTTCAAGCTGGCAGGAACATATTAAAGATAGAATTTTTTTTTATTGAATTTATTGGTACATTCTAGGTAGACGGTAGGTACAGTTACATTTATTACTGGGATCTTGTACCTTTCTTTACATGACAGGTCTTGGTTCTCATTTTTTCCCCTTGTCCCCATCCTCCCTTCATCCCCTCCTCCCCTCCCCACCTACAAACACTTTAATTCCATTTTTACATCTTCTCATATTTTTTTCCCTTTCCCTTATTCCCCTTCCCCTACCCTTCTCACTGTCCCTACACCTTTAGCCCTTTTCTTCATATTTCACATTGCTAATTATCCCGTTAGTAAAGATAGAATTAAAAGTAAAAATTAATTTTGTTATTAGAAAAACTAATTAGTACTTTTCTTCTAGAAAATTAGTAAATATCTGTAACTTCAAAGAATAAAATCATAGGCTGGGCGTGGTGGTGCACGCCTGTAATCCCAGCACGTGGGAGGCTGCAGCAGGAGGATCGCTGTGAGTTTGAGATCAGTGAGTTCCAGAGCAGTCTGAACTACATAGTGAGATCCTGTCTCAAAAAACCAAAAAAAAAAAAAAAAAAAGAATAAAGTCATATATAATCTTGCTTCTCAAGGTAACCATTGTCCATATTTTGGTTATAGACATTGTTTTTTTCCCATAGGTTTTTACAAGACTGTCATTCCTTTTGGCAGATATGAGGGCAGTACAATTTATTACCTTTCTCCTGCATTGTATAAAAGCTGACTATAATTTTTCCCTTCTTAGAAATGATGACCGGGAAATTTTACTAGAGTGTCAGAAAAGAAGGCCGTCACTGAAAACGTTCACACATTTAGCTGTCAAGTTAAATAAAAATCCAGATCAGGTAACAAACCCAATTTTTACATCTCTGTTGGTTGTTGCTCTACATAATTAGGTTTAATTTTTTAAAACATTTTAAAGCATTTACTAGCCTACTTTTAAAAGATGGCCAAGTGCAGGACCATTCAACTTGGTAATTGTGGAAAAAGTGTGTGTTACCATCTACTTATTTGAACTCATGCAATTTAGTAGTAATGTTTTCTTGTTTAATAAAATTTAATGTTGAAAATTTTAAGCAAATGATGGCCTTTAGTATGAAGATATTTCATTTCACCAATCATTAAATCTCATTATTGAACATAACTTTGCTGTCTGCAGATATTTTTTGAAAATATCAGAGATAAAAAAGATTGAGATATTTATATTCATTTTTAATTTTTCAGGTTTCAGAAAGATTCCAGCAGCTAATGAAGCTCTTTGAAAAGTCAAAATGCAGGTAGCTAATGGTTATACTACAGGAGACTAGTATAGTAAATGCTGACACATCATACATCATTTTGCAGCCGGTGGCCCATTAATCATTGCAAATGTGGGCAGTGGGTGAGGGAGCAGCCTCCAGTAGGGTTCCTGCTTCAGTCGCAGGTTGGGGATGCTTGTAGGCATCTCAGGTTATGACATGTGCCGGCCCATACTCAAGAAGCCTGCTGCAGACCAGCATGGCATTTCTCCTCAGCTTTCTGATTGCTGATGAGTCTAAGGTGAGGGAAATCCATTTGGTGATTACTAATAAAGTTTTTATAGATGAAGGAGAATAAAAGAAAATATTTTTGAGCAGCAATATGTTTCATGACCAGTGAAGTCTATGGTCATTATAATTTACTATTTCTCACATTTTTATCAGATTACTTACACTTTAAAATACAAAATTTATGTTATAAATATGAAGCCCATTGTCAGCTAAATAGATGACAGTATTACTGTATTAAGTTATTGATACTGTTCAGACATGCTTCCTCAGTTTCTTTAAGCCATTCTTGTATAGGTTTATTAAAGCAATAGTATTTACATTTATAGCAAGTTTTTCATGTTAGATCTCAGTGAAATGCTTATTCTGGATTTGTAGGGAAGAAAAAATGTAATGATATGAACATTGTATTTGCTATATTTTTCAGTGGATTTGTAGTCAAAATTATTTGAATGCTAAACACCTAATTTATAAATAAGTTTGAGTTAAATCTGAATAGAAACTATTTGGACACAGATCGATCTTTGTTTCTACCTCCATGTGAATTATTATCTCTACTACTTTGCTGGTGAGATCTTCAAAAGATGTTTCCTAGTTTAATGTGAATTTGTATCTTTCAAAATGAAAAATTAAGTAATTGAGAATTTGGAAAAGATCCTTAGTCTTAAGTCTAAAGAACTTTAAAAGAGTACAGCATTAGGCTTAAGTTGCTTGGTTAATTTTCAGGTTATATCTGCATTAAGAGTTTTGCTATCTTTGAAAAACTAACATGGGTTTGTTTTACCTTAATGTTACCTGGAAATATGATTTCTGTTCTCTTGTGAAGAGAATGTAAATTCATAAAAGAATCAGCGACTGGAAATGATGCTAAAATTCCAAATTCCATTATATATCTAGAATCTTTAAAAATTTGTACAAATGTAAAATCTTTAATATCAAATAATTTGATATTTAAGGGTAGGGTTTTTTTTGGTATGATAGTATACATAGAGATTTATTTCATTCCTGTCTCTTAACTGATTTTATTTTCCACCAAGTATTATGGTTTCATTAAATTCTTAGGCCAAAATTGGAGTATAACAATAGTTTCCAAATTGATTCTATAAAAGCTAGATTTTTAACACCAGTCTGTTAAGTAGAGCTCATGTAAAATGTGACACTTATGGGCATGGTGGCTGGCACCTGTAATCCCAACACTTAAAAAAGCTGAGGCAGGATTGCCGTGAGTTCAAGGCCAGCCTGGGTTACATAGTGAGCTTAAGGCCAGTCTGAACTACATACTGAGACCCTGTCTCAAAAAAAAAAAGGAAATATCACTAATGAAAATGGTCATACTAGGAAAATAGAATCATAACTTTAGCATTTTCTTACATTACAGATAAGTGGCTGAATTCCTTGGAGTTTTAATTGATATTTCATACTGCAGAGAAGCTTCAAATTCCTCATGTTTTAAATGGGGAACTAGAGGGAGTTTTATCAAATTTTTGATTACTAGATGATAGCCAACCTACATTTGTTGTTACTTATTAATCTCAAGTCAGTATATTCAGTTTATTCCAGTCATCAGTCTGATTTGCTTACCTGTTTATTGGTCAAAATATTTATTTTTAAACATTAGAACATATCACCAAAATGAAAGCAACAGTGTCATAGTTTTGAAACATTAGTTTTGATATTTCAAAGAAATAATTTTCTTTTCTAGATTAAAAAAAAATAGTTTTATAGAATTTTAAACTTAAGTATTTAGTTCAAGTTTTCATTCATTTTTATGTTTTTATAATTGCTTCTCCTCATTTTGGTATTTTGTAAAGTAATTTAAATAGTGTATTTGTAAATATGTATAATTATAATTATGTAAAATACCGTGTGTATGCACACACATAAATAGATTTGCAAGGATTTTTATATGTATAAAATTTTTTGTATAGTTTGCTTTTGATATGGTAATGTATAATAAAACCATGCTGAGTTCTGTTATGTTTGACTAGAATGTTTCTTTTAGTATATTTAGATAATATTAAAAGGAGATAAATCTCTCTGGGGACATGGGAGATCCTTGAAGTGTCTCATGGTGGGAATGTGGCTGGCTGAGTGCTTATGAGTAGGTTCGTTAGAGAAAGCCTTTTTCACTTTCCTGCTTTCATGTAGCATGTATTGTACCGGAATTGTCAGACTCATACCTCTACTGCAGGTATCTGCAGATAAAATTAAGGTCGAACAAAAGGAATGAAGATTGGGAGGCCATATATGGATTGATTAGCTTGGACACTACTCCTTTACTCTTCCCCTCTGGTCTCATAGGACTCATAGGTGACAGTATAGGCTCTAGACTTTAGGATGTGCCTTTTCTCATTGTCATTTCTACCATAATGTCCAGAGATTGAGCCCTGACCTAAAGGATTGCTTGGTAGATAATAAAATAGAATAGTTAACTGGGGCCCTCCACCATCAGTCTTGTCCCTTTTCCTCTCTTGGAACATCCAGCATGGCCTTTTCGGCTGGCCATTGGCTGGGCCTGGTGGCACATACCTGTAATTCTAGCACTTGGGAGGCTGAAACAGGAGGATCACCCAAGGATGGCCTGGGCTACATAGTGAGTTCAAGGCCAGCCTGAACTGCATAGTGAGACTTGGTCTCAAAAAGCCACACACACACAAAATTTTTTTTGATCAGTATGATAGAAGAGCTAATGAAATATAAAGAATATAATCAAGGGCCGGGATTTAGCTGAGTGGTTCTACCACCTGTCTCGCAAGTGCATTATAGTGTCAAATGGAAAAGAATAGATAAGGGGATCTGGAGTTGTAGTCCAGTGGCAGAACACTTGCCTAGCATGTACGAGGCCCGTGGGTTTGATCCTCCAGCACAACCAAACAAAAAGAGTAGAAAATATGAAGGAGTTAAGTGAGATGGAGGACAGACATAGATGTGCCCACTTTGAGATTGTAAGAGAGACCTAAGAAGAAAAGGTTTAGAGGTAAAGGGACACAGTGCAAAATGAGAAACAAGGATGTACCCACATCTAAACACAAACTAAGGAATATAAAACATAGGGCTGGGGATTTAACTCAGTGGTTCTGCTGCCTGCCTCGCAAGCACAAGGACCCAAGTTCAATCCCCGGTACCCCCCCAAAAAAGAATATAAAACATTATGAGAAGCTGGGAGTGGTGGCGCATGCCTGTAATCCTAGCACTTGGGAGGCTGAGGCAGGAGGAGCGTTGCCATGAGTGTGAGGCCAGCCCAGGGTACATAGTGAGTTCAAGGCCAGCCTGAATTACCTAGTGAGACCCTGTCTCAAAACCAAAAAAGATTGACATGCATCTTCTCAGTTCCAAAATCTATAGGAAGATGATGTAATATCTTCAAAAGTACTGGACCTAAAATTTTATGTCTTTCAAAGGTGAAAGCTTACTAACAGATTAATAGCCATCCAAAAAAGATTATCAAAAATACACATTGAAAATTTTGGAGGAAGATAAAAAGCTGTTACAAAAGAGATTGATTTAATGATCTGACCTTTGTAAAATGTGTATACATTCAGACAGTATGACCATGATGAAGTGTGGAGGGGGACAAGGAAGCATGTGAATATTAAGCATTCTTGTAGGGATGAAGGGATAGATATAAAAACATTGAACTTCTTAGATTGAAATATCACACTTATACGGACAAGTACATAAAAGAAAAAACTGAATTTTCACTAAGTGAACACTTGCGTGACACCATCCCAGTCAAGAATTAGGACATTACCCTGGTCCAGAATGCCCTTCCCCTTACTGTTTATAATCCTTTCTTCTCACTAAACACTTGCTGACTTCTTTTTTTGAGACAGGATCTCATTATATGGTTCACACTCGCCTTGAATTCACTGTGTATTCCAGGCTAGCCTCAAACTCATGGGAATCCTCCTGCCTCAGCCTCCCAAGTGCTGGGGTTGGTTACAGGTGTACACAACCATGCCTGGCTTGCTGACTCCTATTACTATAGATTTGTTTTACTTATTTTTGAACTTGCAAATGGAATCACGACAGTGTATATACTTTTTTTTTAGTTTATTTTTACATTTTAGGTATACAGTATAGTTACATTCATTATTGGGATCTTGTACCTTTACCTGACAGGTCTTGGTTCTCACTTTTTCCTCCTATCCCTGCCCTCCCTTCGCCCCCTCCTCCCCTCCCCATTTACAAACATTTTATTTCCATTTTTTCATTTTCTTATATATTTTTTTCTTTTCCCTTATTACCTTTCCCCTACCCTTCCCACTTTCCCTACACCTTTAGCCCTTTTCTTCCTATTTCACATTGTCAATTATCTTATTAGGATCTTAGTACTATTATAGTTTTTCACACCAGAGAAACCAGAGAAACAGTTCAGTATTTACACATGTGTGACTTATTTATTTCACTTAGGAGTATATCCTCAATATGTATCCATTTTCCTATGAATGAATCTAATTTCTCATTCTTTATGGCTGAGTAATATTCCATTTTATAGAAAAACCACATCTTCTTTATCCAGCTTCCAACTGCTGGGCAAATGAGCTGTTTCCAAATTTTAGCTATTACAAATTGTGTCGCTATAAACATGGATGCGCATATATCACTGTGATATGATTCTTTTAGTTCTTTTGGAAAGATACCCAGCAGAGGGATGGCTGGGTCAAATGGAACCTCTAGTCCCAGCTGTTTGAGGTATCTCCATATTGATTTCCATAGTGGTTGCACCAGTCTGCACTTGAATTTTTTGTTCAGCAATGTGTTTAATGTACCAATAGTGTATTTTCATTGGTATATATATTTTAATTGAATGAATATACCACAGTTAATCAGATTTTTTTTAATGTGTGGGTTTTTAAAATCTATTTTGGTATTGGGGATTAAACTTGGGACCTTGCGTTTGCGAAGTGGGCAGTGGCACCACTGAGCTAAATCCCCATCCCAGTCATTTTTATTTTGTTCTGCAGCTGTTACAAATAATGCTGTATGCAATTTGAAAAAATACATATAAATACAGCATGATTTTTTATTAAATAATTTTTAGATGTATACTTTAATAGTATTAAATACAAGCACATTATTATTGCTAGGTCATCATCATCACCATCCTTGTTTAGATCTTTTTTATCTTTCTAAATGGGGACTCAGTCCTTAAATAGTAACTACCTGTTCACTCCTTGCTCCAGCCCTTGGCAACCA